TTGGAGAGGGTCTTTTTGTTCTGTAGACAGCCCCTTATGTCCTCACATGGTACAGAGAACATGCAGTCCTGTTATCTTTTGTAGGAGCACAAATCTTACCATGAGGTCACATCCTCATTACCTCCTACCAACCATAATGCCCTTCAGATGGTCCTTCTGAGGCCATCAAGTATGAATTCGGGGGGGGGGGGGCCAAATTTTCTTTTCAGAGAAGCATGACATAGACATTTAAATCTCTCTCTACTAGTCTTCCCATAAACAAAGTATAAAGCCTTTTTCCAATTACTGATTTGGAAAATGATGAATATGGATAATCATATTCTCATGAATTCGGCGAATAAGGAGATCTTGCTCCCTTCGGGAAGATAAACAAGAAATCATTTCCTGATGTTCTACACAGTCCTGGGTTAGTATGTCACTACACTGGACATTCCAGTCCATTTCTGTTCTTCTAGAAGACCCTATGCCAGTTATCTCAGGGTTGGTGTCTCCTGATCTTTATTGAAGTCACTACAATGTGTCCTTATAACTGCCCCATCTTCTGGTTGGGCCCATTTCAACCTAGAAGTGGAATAACACCCCAACTGCTTCCCTTTCCTCTCCAGCCTTCAGTTGTGCTAGCTCAGAAACTTGATATGGCTGTTTCTAGTGGATTCCAGCCCATATAGCACAAGAGAGGAAATTTTCACACTGACTATCAGTTCTTTGTCATGTATTTCCCAGGACCATGCCACTACAGGACAATGCCACCATCACCCCTAGAACTCTCACTGTTGCTCTGTCTTTGTAGGTGGCATTTGTGCATCTCTATGATAATCTAAAAGGAAGTGGTCCCTTTTGGGGGGCAGTAGTACAATGCCTATGTGCCTACTAAAGCAAGAGAAAAGTAGAATTTAGGAAGTATTTAGGGTACACATAAGAATATTTTGCTCATTAATAAAATATTGAGCTATGGATTTGTATAATTTCCCTTGAACTTTCTAACTCAGTGCCTACCACATCTCTGTTGTGACCACCTTTATGAAGGCCTTGTCTCCTATATCCTCAGGCATGCCTATACAATTCTTCACAGATCTTTATTGAAGTCACTACAATGTGTCCTTATAACTGCCCCATCTTCTAGTTGGGCCCATTTCAACCTAGAAGTGGAATAACACCCCAGCTGCTTCCCTTCCCTCTCCAGCCTTCAGTTGTGCTAGCTCAGAAACTTGATATGGCTGTTTCTAGTGGATTCCAGCCCATATAGCACAAGAGAGGAAATTTTCACACTGACTATCAGTTCTTTGTCATGTATTTCCCAGGACCATGCCACTACAGGACAATGCCACCATCACCCCTAGAGCTCTCACTGTTGCTAGGTCTTTGTAGGTGGCATTTATGCATCTCTATGATAATCTAAAAGGAGGTGGTCCCTTTTGGGGGGCAGTAGTAAAATGCCTATGTGCCTACTAAAGCAAGAGAAAAGTAGAATTTAGGAAGTATTTAGGGTGCACATAAGGATATTTTGCTCATTAATAAAATATTGAGCTATGTACTTGTATAATTTCCCTTGAACTTCTAACTCAGGGCCTACCACAACTCTGTTGTGACCACCTTTATGAAGGCCTTGTCTCCTATATCCTTAGGCATGCCTATACAATTCTTCACATATTAGGTGATCCATTAGGTTTTTGTTTAGTGAATATCTATAATATATAGTGTTGAACTAGAAAATTTAAAAAGCCAGGCATGGTGGGGTCCACTTTTAATCCCAGCATTTGAGAGGCAAAGGCAGGTGTATTTCTGAATTCAAGGCCAGCCTAATCTACATAATGAGTTCTAGGCCAGGGCTATCCAGTGAGACCCACAAAATAAACAACAAAAAATTCTTTCTAAAAGAAAGGAAAAAAAAAGAATACTTGCTTTCAAAGACTCTTACAATTCGATTTGCATAGTTTTCATTTTAAATTGCCACTTAGAATAACACATTCTTGCTACTTTCAATTAAATGGTCCTGGGGGCTTTACAGATGGCTCAGAGGTTAAGAGCACTGGCTGCTCTTCCCAAGGTCCTGAGTTCAATTCCCAGCAACAACATGATGTACAACCATCTGTAATGAGATCTGGTGCCCTTTTCTGGCCTGCAGCGAGGCTCACAACCATCTGTAATGAGATCTGGTGCCCTTTTCTGGCCTGCAGCAATACATGTAGACAGAACACTATATATAATAAATAAATAAATGTTTAAAAAATACACAGTAGAAATGTACCAGTCAAAGTAATTAACTGGCCCTCAGGATTTGCAGATCATATGAAAAAAAACCAATATTAACAGATTCTCCCTTGTGAACATATGCTAATAAATGAAATGGTCCTTCAAATCAAGTTTTGTAGAGAACTATCAAAAATGTCCTTAAAAATAAATTGCTGAGATAATCATTTAGGAAATACTCACTCTGATGTGTTGTCACTAGTATTTAAAGTCTCCCGGAGACTAATACTCCTCAAATTATAATAGTCTTCAATCATGATGACCCTAAAAATTTAACCTAGATAATAGGCAATATGTTTCATAAGATTATAGAGCTATGGAATGGATTTATATAGTGTGAGTTAATGATAACTATGTTTGTGTGTACAGTAGACAAGGCATATTTATTATGTGTACAGTGTTCAGCTTGCATGTACTCCTGCAGGCCAGAAGAGGGCACCGAATCTCATTACAGATGGTCATGAGCCACCATGTAGTTGCTGGGAATTGAACTCAGGACATTTGGAAGAGCAGGCAGTGCTCTTAACCGCTGAGCCATCTCTCCAGTCCAGACAAGGCATTTTTTAGTCACTAAAATTTGGGGAGATAATGCTGGGACTGTGCCACCCAAGTTTTCCATGACGTTCTCTCTCACAGTGTCTCAGATTATCCGGGGACATTGAACCTCTCGCCAGAATCCCTCCTGAACTGCTGTTGTCACACTGTGGCTGTTGCCTCAAAGTCCCATGGTCTGGGAAACTGGAGTTCAAAGACTTTCTTTTATAAATTCTAGCTTTCTGCCCAGACTGGTTGTCCATTAGGAAAGGTGGCCAGTGCAGAATCTGAGTAGACCAGTTGTCTCTTTTTTGGGTGCTCATCCCACCAAGAACAACGTCACACCACAAAATGATGCTTTCCTTCATTGAAGACCCTTGGGCTGCAATTATGCATTTTAAAAGTACAGTAGATGGTGGGGCATTGGTAACGATATATTGCTATGAGAAATGTATCCATCTTTCCTTGTTTTACTATAAGTAGTTAGTATTATCCCTGGAAATACTGAGCTGGGAAAGGCTGAGCTGGGAAGGCCTTTTCCTTCCTCGGACACTAACAACACACCCCGTTCATTTTTCTTTTGTGTTCACCAGGACCGACTAGCAAGTGGGCTAAGGCCTGGGTTGTCATGCGATAAGGGGAAGAAGAGACATTCTTAGTATGGAGTATTAGGAAGCACTGAGCTAGACAAAATAAAAGTGGTATCTTTTAGTGTTTAAAATAAAAGTGGTACCTTTTAGTAGTGTTTCTGTAAATTTCAATTCAGCCTCTAGTTCATGAGGAACAATAAACAGCAGTTAGAACAAAACAAAACAGCCTGATTCGTTGATACAGCATTCGGATTTTTGCCCAGGAGTCTCAGACATCCCTCTTCCTCCAAGGACACAGACATTCCTTCAGGACCATTTCTTTTACCTCAAAAACAGGAGCATTGTATTAAATAATATTTAAGGTCCTATCCAGTTCCAAGGTGGCTTGCCTATTTCTCAGATCAAGATCCTGTAAGTATACAAAACAAACAAACAAATAAACAAACAACCACTTAACAGCAGAATAGACACAAGGTCAAGGCCAGCCTCTACTACACAGGGAAATCCTGTCACAAGAATAAACAAGAAACAATAACAAAATACCCAGTGAACAAATGAACTCCTCCAAGATGATTTTCAGAGAGCACTATTCTGTAAAAGGCTACATGAACCCATAGCTACAATTATAGTTGTTATTATATTAAGTGTCTAGAATGAAGACCAGAATTAAGTCTGGAATGAAGACCAGAAGCAGACACACTTCTGCCTTGCTTCGCCTGCCCTCTGGTGGTAGTGTTGAGAAGTGAATTAACCAAAAGAGTTAACATGGGGGAGGTATTCCAAACCGGCCACAGCATGCTGGAGTTGTTCTGGGATTCTAAGTTTATTTTATCTCTAAGTGCCCGAAATAAAGAGGAATCCAGAAGATAGTAAGACCTAGGTATAGGACCTCCTGAAACATTAGAGCAATATAGAGATTAAATGTTACGTACAAAGTTAAGCGCTGGGAGCCCTTGTTGAAGTTTGATTTCTAGGTAAGATTTCCACATGTTAAATAGCACAGGTCTGGAAAGCCTGGGGTGCGGGGAGTGGGGGGCAGAAACACGGGCAAATCTGTAGAAGACTCCTCCCCAGCAATGGCCAATTGTGGGATTGGGAAAAGACTGGGAATGTTCTGGCGGGGGTGGGGGGGTAATATCTCCTATCTCCCCATGCAGAGCGCTATTAAAGACAGAACTGACAAAAGGGCAGCCGTCTATATAAAAGATTTATGTTTTAAAAGTATTTGAAGAGTAAAGACTTGCTCCCCGTAGTGAATAATTTCTCCCACTCACTCATAACCAGCCTTATCACTATTCAAAAGACTACGTGCGTCTTCATTTCCTTAGCACAACAAATTTGGCCAATGCTGTTTTTAGAGTTCAAGCACTAAAGGCGTGTCCACCTTTTAAATGGCTGAATAATGGAAGGAATGGTTAATGCTATGAAATCACATAGCACTGAAATGCCCGTGTCTGTAAATGATGCTTTACCTCAAGGAAGCCACACCTGTGTCTTGTATGCTGTTTTGTATCTCGTCTCATGTCGTGGCATGTACACAGGATGAGCCATTGAGGGAGGTCCAGCGGAGGCTGTGAAGGTACAAGGAAAGCCAAGGTTAGGATCTAAAGCATTCTTCTCTTACAGAATTACTTGAAAAAATTCCAGTTCCGTAATGCAAAAACTTCAGACTTTTGGGAGTCACTGGAAGAGGTAAGGAAGGCAATACCTTTAAACGTTTCTTTGTCCAACTTTATCACTAGTATTTAATTTCCCCTTATGGATAAACTAATGGATCTCTGTTATCCCCAACAACAGGCAAGTAATCAACCAGTGAAAGAAGTTATGGACTCCTGGACTAGCCAGATGGGCTATCCTGTGATCACTGTGAAAGAACGGAAGAACTTAAGCCAGAAACGCTTCCTGTTGGATTCCACAGCTGACCCTTACGAGCCACCATCAATGCTTAAGTAAGGCTTTGTGATGATGACACACTTCAAAGAATGGTAGAAATTATTCAGCAGAAATACTGGTAATATGCTTAGGCTCTGCTAGCATTGTGTCATTGCTATCTGACAGCATAGAGGCGACAGAAGAGTTCAGAGCTAGCTGAGTGACGGGCTGAGCACACACATCTGCATTTCTTCTACTTAGACTCGGGTGATAGAAGAATGGAAGCCATAAAAGAAATAAAGCCGTGATAGGATGGACATGAGTGGGCAGAGCTGTAGGCAGTGTGGAATGCTGGGAGAAGGGCTAAAGGACAAACATTGGTCCAAAAGGAACAGGGAAAGATGCTGCTAGAGAGTGACAAGGGTCTCCCTGTCTCGAGACAGGCGCTGCACTCAAAAGATACATGAAGAGTGCAGAGAGCAGTGAGAAATAGGCTGAAAATAGGTCGAGGAACGAGTTCAGACTGTGCCAACTGGACCTATACCCTCCACTTTGCTCCCATTTGTCGCCATTGCCCTCACTGCAGAGCACTCTCAGAAGTCTGGCAGTGACAGCAGGCAGAAATCCAGATGGCTTGTTTCCTCACAGATAGACTAAAACAGTAGAGGACAGCCAAGGCCTCCCAGGGTGGAAGCTCCAGAGCAAAGCCTTCCTTGCCACAGCACTTGCGAGGCAGTCGGCTGGCCTCCCCTAAGACACAGGGACACTTGTTTCCAAAGCCTGTCTCCCTCCAAGTCTCAAGCCCCCAAGTCCCAGCCCCCAAGAATAATCAGTGTGGCCTTGGAAGATGATTCAGCTGGCAACAAACTTGCCATCTAAGCATAAAGGCCTGAGTTTGAATCCCTAGGACCAAGGGTGCATCTGTAAGCCGGGGTCTTCTGTGGTAAAATGCAAGGTGGACACAGGATCCCCAGAATCCCCAGCTAGTCTGCAAACACAGAGGGGGATAATAGAGGCAACCTGTCTCAAATAAGGTGGACCGTGAGGACCAGCACTCCAGGTTATCCACAAACCTCCACACAAGTGCCATAGCATGTACATGCCTACACACAAACATGTAACATGCATGCAGACACAAAGCAATGATCAACTCAATTCTCTTTTTAAAATATCAACAGCCAGCGGAGGATCAGAGCACATGAAAAAAAATCTCTAAACATAAAAGCTTAAATCCCATGGGGACAGACAAATGAAAAACTCCTGGTTTTATGGACACAATTTAGGAACAACAACACCAAAAAAAAAAAAAAAAGAAAAAGAAAAGAAAGAAAGGAAAAGAAAAGAAAGAAAAATTTGAGATATATTCAAAGATTTTTTAAAAGCTATTTTGCTCATTATCTAAGACAGAGTGTCCCAGAAAGGCAAGTTGAGAATACAGAAGGAAGACTAGAATTTTAGTCAAAGTAAATTTGGGAGAAATTCTCCAAAAATATAAAACATACTCAATGAGATGGTAAATATGAAAGAGAAGATAAACGTGAAAAGCTTGTGCCTGAGTCAGAGGTGACCCTCAAAAGAAAACAGCTAGGCATGGTGGCAGAGTCTGTAAAAAAGAGTTAGGAATTGATCCAGGGACTGAAATAGGCAGGACCTGTTTCTTTTTCCAGTGCCAGGGATACTGTTTGTAGCTTGTCCTTGGGTACCATTGGTATATCTCATGGAAATGAGCAAATACGATGAATTTTCCTCAGAGAGCTGGTTGCGAAGGGTCAACTAGCTCTCGGTAGCTAGTCTCATTTTACAGAACATCAGTGACACCAAAATCCACGAGCTAAGAAAGGTGGGGTGAAACTCTCAGAGGTCCACTTGTGATCCATAAGGAAGTCTAGAAATGATTTTATTTTATTAAATTTTATTGTTCAAGGGACATAGAAGGGCAAGGAATATAGAGGAGCTAACTCATGCCCTCTCATGGACAAATTAGAACACATTGGCTAAATAAATTAGTGCAGTTAAACTGCAGAGTTAAAACCAGAAGCCTTAGCCTGAGGGAGGATTTTCATCACCAGATCTCCAAAGTTTTGATGAATGATGAATTTATGAACAAATTGCACAAGTTTAAGTCCCCTGGCTATCTAATATTCTTCTTGTCCTACAGGACACTCTAGCCGTATTTCTGGAGAACTGAAAGTCTTTGCAAACACATGATATGATACATAGAACTTAGATTGGGTGAGAGAGTCTAACTTATGTCTAGAATTTGACTTTGGGAATTAAACCATACTAGCAACACATTTGGGCATTTCAGAAATTAAAATCACCAAGGCACTGTAACTGTGGAAGGCATCAGCGAATAGAAAACACTCAGAATTTTTCAATTAGATTCTTCTAAGATACTGACTGCTACTTACTTGGACTGGAGAAAAATCCAGAAAGCCTGTTTTGCTTACTCTACTGGGACCCACTGTCAGCCTGTCCTGAAAGTTGCACTCGGCTTTCCCACAGGGAACATAGTCTAGAGAAACTGGGAGTCTTGCTGTAAAATAAGTTCCGAAGGCTCATAGTTCTCTTCAGCAGGGCACCGCTGCCAGTGTGGATCACTGGGGCATTCGCTTCCCCCGACCCATGCCAGCAGAGGCCTGCACTTCTCTATCTTTACTTTAGAAGGGGCTATAATGAGAAAGCCAGTTGCTTTTCACTCTTTATTTCATTGTACCTGAATTAAAGTATAGGTTGACTTGTTTTCAGGTGATAATTCAATTATAAAAGTCAACTTAATTGTTTTTGCCTTGGTCCTGTTAACAGTTTTAGACTGTTTCAATTATAGTTGGTGTTTTTGCTTTAGCAAACTACATTGGCCATATATAGTTTTGCCTGAATGTGAATATTAAAATGTTAAACAACAGTGTGTTTCTGTCTTGCAAAACAGGCTTCTACTGGGCAAGTTTTCCATTAATTGTTTCCTGTCATGTGTAGCCACAGATTTATTAAACCAAAGACAGTCAGCCCTGGCTTTGTTTGAGCTGGCGGATTTGTAGTTAAAAAAACAAAACAACAACAAAAAAAACTCCTTGGCTATCAAGTCCTCTCTATGCAGATTCCCCCTCCCCCAAATATTATAGCCAAGTGAACTAAACATTTATGTTAATATTTTTGAGGTTTTAACCAGATACTGTTACACATTTTTTTTTTATTTCTGGAGGCATGAATCTTAGAGATCATTTACCATAAAATTGATTTATTTGTCTCATGTTTATAAAACACAATTATACAGTCACAGGAAAATAAACATTGAGAACATTGGTTAAAAATCAGTAGCAGTTGAACAAGAGAGCAAGAAACCTTAAAAACAGGAGCAAGCCTTCCTTAAATTTTACTTTATTAAAATGTTAGATTATTCCAGACAATGGTGGCACTTGTCTTTAATCCCAGCAGTGGGGAGGCAAAAGCAGGTGGATCTCTGGGAGTTCCAGGCCAGCCTGGTCTACAGAATGAGCTCCAGGATAGCCAGGGCATCACAGAGAAACCCTATCTTGAAAACAACAACAAGAAAAATAGATTACAATAAATGCTTTCAGGCAGACTATTATCTACTATGCTTAACATACACTAATAAAAATGTCTAAAAAAGTACCTTCATCATCCAGAAAATACAAAATACAAAACTGGTTCTTTTCCTGCAGTAAGGCTGGCTGCTGTCTGTTCAGAGTTGCTCTGATTTGGTAGACAATGCACTCACAGTTATTCTGTGAGTTGAGTGACACTTCTGAGAGCATTTATCTTTGCTTAATCCAAGATTAGGAGAAACTTAGTAAACAGAAAGTTTTATCATTGGAACGAGCCCTATGTAGCTCATACTGTGGCCTTCACCATCTCTTCAAATGAGTCATTTCTCATCTTTGTCAGTGGGATTTCCTCATATGGGACCTTGGACGCCCATTCCACACTGAGAGGCAGAAGAAAGGGAGTAGGCACACCATCTTAGATGTTTAAGTCAGTGTCAGCGAAGAAAATTAGAGCAGCCTTATTTAACACCGATGGAGCCTGTAAGAAGGCCGGAGCACTAATTACACCTTCAGGAATGATCCCCAATACCCCTGAATTTAGATAACCCGTAACACCCTTTATCACTTCATTTGTGTGATTTCCACTCTTGGCATTTTATGTTCTTAAATCTTTCCCTTTACTCAGGAGATTAGGTATGATACCATGAAGTTAAGATTGGAAGGCAGTAGTGCCCCTGCCTTCTATCATCTTGACTTATGACACTCTTAGACACCTCGGGATAGTATATTATGTGTCTGTTTTCAGTCACACAGTTTCTGCCAGCCTTTAGTATGGTATAGTCCCAGGGAGGACACCACCATTTGTGAAGACTGTACACACAGATCACGAAGCCCCTGGCTGCTCCGTGTCGGGCCAGGCTGCCACTGTGGAACATGGAGAAGAGTCAAGTGTCTACTGTCTTCCGGTCGGCACCAAACTAGCAGCATGGCAAGAGTATAGAATGGGGCTCTTTACAACATTTCTTTGCCCCTCTTCTGAGGGGCAAATACCTGTAAAGCTGACTAAAAACAGACCTGGAGATTGCTCTGCAAGAGAAAGTGGGCAGCTGGAAAGAGAGGGCGCAGCGGGGATGCTGTATGAAGACGCACCTGTAGAGAGTAACTGGCTGCCAACGTCAGCGAAACTCGGTAGCCGACAGATGTGCCTGACAGATTAGACAAGACGGCTTGTCGCTACCATCTACCATGGCAAAGGGCCACATTCAGAAGAATAAATTTCCTGGAACTCTGGGCTTTTAGGCTCCAGCAGCCTGAGGGTAGCTCCCAGTTAGCTTACCCGGATTGGGGGCGGGGGCTGCAAGTTGATGACATTGGCTAAGCCTGAAGCACCCATGGCATGCACTGTAGGACCTAGGAAACCTTTTATACACTAGTCTCCCGAAACATGTGGCCTCACATTCTGCTGGAGACAGGAGGGTGGCAAGTTCGAGACCTTCCTGGGTTGCAGAGTGAATTCAAAGCCAGCCTGCATAGTTTAGAGAGGCTTTGTCTCAAAATAAAAAATTAAAAAGTGGCCCATTGTTAAAAGGCATCCCTGGCATGCAGAAGGCCCTAGTTCAACTCTCTAATTCAACAAGAGACAAAGAGAACACATGGCCACCTCAAAAACAAGTTTATCTGGTGGTTTTCCTTTTCGGCATTGATCCTTACGGTTGGAATCATTAAGTGATTTCCTGAGCCGGGCAAGCTATGCTCAGCGGGTAGGATAGTGGAGTTTCGGTGTCATTTGAAGAAAGCACACCATGCTAGAACTTACACATGCTCGAATGCAGAGGCTCTGTGTTATGCTGTCAAATGCTACATGTGTGCAAGTAATGCAAGATGTTTGTTTCAAAACTTTTTTTTTTACTGAATACCTTTCTTCACCCTTATTTAATTTTTATGCAAATTTCTACATTTTGTGGGTTTGTAGAGACTGGGAACTGTCGGTGGCATGGCCCATCTTCAAGCCCAAAGTCCATTTTGCAAACTGTGTGTGTTGGGTACTACACCCTGGCCAATCACTTATAAAGAAAAATGCGCTCATCTGTTGATTTTGACATTTAAGCTTTTCGTGATTAAGTTAAATGTTTTCTTTCTTAAAAATTTTAGTTACACGTGGAATATTCCAATTAAATGGGCCGAAAATGACAATTCAAATGTTGTCGTCTACAACAGATCAGAAAAAGAAGGTAAATATTATTTAACACATTTCTTCTTTGAATTGATGCACTCAGTAAACGAATATAGAGTGGAGCAGTAATTAAGTCAAAACTTGTAAATTTCAGCTAAAAGTCATCTCTTAAATAACTTACCAATAATTCTATAACTTTTGCTACAACGAGAACTTTCCCACCTCCATGATCTTTCTAGTGACTTACCATGGCACACAGAAACACGTCACCAGGGCTAAAGGAATGGTACTTACCTGCCAGTCATCGGAAAACCAAGCTAGAAGGTTCCTGCTTTCCTAGCTTCCCCACACTCCAATTTATCCTTCTATTCTTGCTTCCTTTCCTCCTCCCTCTTTCTTCTTCTGCTCTTTATATCAAATAAGACATCAGGTTTCTTAGAATATCGTGGGAATGGCCTGCTTTTCAAACATTCTCTTTCAATTACAACAATCAGCTTGCAATGTGTTTCTTGTTCTCTCTCCATTGGTTTTTCTTTTTCTCATTTGAAAAAATTTAGGGTTCTTTAGAATCAAGGTCTTATCACAAACTTCAAAATTGCTGAGGAAAAAGGCCAATAAGTAAGAGAGGTTTTAGCATCAATCCCTTTTTTCTTTAATCCCTGGAAAATTTTTTTTTTTTTTTTTTTTTTTTTTTTGAGATATTTTATTTGTGCACTTTGTCATCCTAGCTAGAGTTCAAGTCACTGGAGAGCAAAGACCATCTTAATACATCTTTTATCACAGTAATTAAACCATGGATAATCTTGCTTTTTATGATTTGACCATTGTAGTTGTTTTGTGTTGCAAAACATTTCTTATCTAAGACAGACTGAATTTCTTCATTCTGTCCAATGACAATGTGGTCTTAGAACAGCATATTCTATAGGCTTTCCCTGGGGATTCTTGAAGCTAAAAGCAACCTACATTCCTTTATCTGTACCTGGTTACTTGTCCCCAAATTCACCCATCTAAAGTGGGTTCCCTGAGCTAGGGCTATAGCTCAGTCAGGAGAATGCTTATCCAGCATTCAGGAAACCCTGGGTCAGTTGTCATCACCACATATAACCAGATGTGCTGGTAAGCAGCTGCAATCCCAGCCTTCAGGAGCCAGAAGCAAGAGGATCACAAACTCAGAGTTATTGCCAGTGACCTAGAGAATTCAAAGTCAGCCTACAGTTGAGGGCAGCTTGAATTCCATGAAGCTATGTCTCAAAAATTTTTTTAAAAAATAAAGTGTATCACCCAATCCTTTTGGCTAAGTTTGCAGCTCAGTGATATCATCACCTCAGAAAGAGACTCATACCTGTAGTGATTTCCCCTTCATTCTCCACATGCCCGGGCCTTAAACAATTGCTGAACTTATGCCCGTGAGGATTTAACTTATTCTGGAAATTTGTTTTATGATAATAGGGTTTTCCAGGGTTCCTCCATGTTGTGGCAAGGGTCAATGCTTCATTCCCTTCCATAGTCGTTATATGTCATCCATGTCACATGAATATGTCACCTCTTCTTTACCTGTCATATTCTTTGGGCCTTTTTAATCCCACAGAACACGCTAGAATCAATTGTATAGTAGTATTTCTGCCTTAGGTGTTTTCACCTTTGCTGTTTCTTTTTTCTTTTCTTGTAAACTCTTTTACATTTTTAGCTGTATTGACAACTCTTTGCTATTATCTTTGCTATTATGAAGGTAAGACTCATCTCCGGGCTATTTCTGGCAGAAAATATGATTGGAGGAAAACTTCCCCTTCGTTGTTTATGCTAATGATTGTTGTGTAGCCAACGACTCTGAATCCTTCCAGAGATTCCAGATCAATGCCTTTTTGTCCCAGTATTCCACATGTTTATGCTGTTCTTGAGTTCTTAGCTGAATGTCTTGTGGTCTGTCTACTGTCCATTTTCCTACTCACAGGCAGGTTTGCCAAGGGAAAATGAAAAGGACAGAAAAAGAAATAAAAGACAGTAAAAGAAGGTTAGGGTTTCAATGCCTTCAACTGAACCATCACCACATATGTTCCCTGTTGGTCGGCTGTGTCTAATTGAGGGTCTGAAGACTGTGTCTGCAGCAGCTTGATTCACTGTTTACAGATTTAAAAACATGAATAATTCATCCATTCTAACATAATTTTCCAGTGTTTTCATGGAATGAGGATTTCATATAAGAGAATGTTGTAGGTAGTGAAAGCTCAGGAAAGCACTTTAGAAAACATGTCAAGGATTCAGAATAAATTATTTTTCTAAATACCTATTTATTTATTAGAAAGAATCTTTTGGATACACAATCCTTAATTCATTATTTCATTCTGTCTGGCAAGTTTTTGTTTTGTTTTATTTTTTGAGATAGAGTCTCATGTAAGCCAGGCTAGCCTCCTACTCTTCTGCTCCACCAGAGAGTACTGGGATTGCAAGCATGAGCCTATACACCTGCTTTATACCTTGCTGGGGATGGAATCTAAGATTCCAGGCCTGCTCAGCAAAGCACTGTAGTTACCAAGTTAGCTGCACTCCTAGCTCAAGCAAATATTTTTTTAAAAGTAGTTTGGGGGCAGTTTGGGAATGAACACTAGGTGAGTGAAGTTCAACCCTTCCTATCTCATAGATTGCCGTCTAGGGCAGGTCAGCAGACAGACAGATTCAGTTATAACTGTTGCCATGATGCAGGTGGTAAAGGGCACCCAAAGGACAAGAACCAGTGCAAATTTATGGGTCCAGGAAAGGTTGCTATGGAAAAAATTCCTAGATCAAAACTCATGGGCTCACGAGAGTTTCGGGGTAATCGGACTGAAGAAGTACAGAGGGGGTCTGTACCTCAGACAGGGAGTATATAAGAAATGGAGAGGAGAGGGGGCGTACCTGATCCCTTCCAGCTCTCAGGCAAGTCTAATATGGCATTTCTGATACTATTGCCATACCCGTGTCTCTCTTCCTTCCAGAATATTTTTTGATGGAATGAATGACTTTCTGTTTGTTGCTGCTGTTCTGTAATTGTTTATTGCATGCATGAATGAATAAATGAATTCAGAAAGGGCTCGGGTGTTCAAGACGCTAGGATAACAAACCTACCTTATCAGAAACTTTAGAACCACGATTGGTCTCCTTGCCAGGAAAAACCACTGGACAGCTCTTCCTTCTTCAAAGTGCCTGCTCCATTTTTAGGCTATGCCACGAGTTCCTGTTTCCTGTTTGAGGACATTTTGAGCTCAGGGCACAGATGATGACTGTGTCCTGAGTGTACTGAATGGGCAACCAGCTCATGTTACCTGTCTCTCGTCCCTGCCCTCGGCCACTCTGATGATTCATGAGTTAGAAATGCCCCAAGCAGTAATAGGACTTCCGGGATCTTTTATTTACACTAGTATTGTACATGATATTTTAAGCAGTGGGGAAAAATATTTGTTTTCTCACCAAAGAAGTAAATCTCAAACAAAATGTTTTCTGGATATTAGAACCTAGACAGAAAATCACCTTCATTTGAATAGTCTTAACCCCGCTAAAGTGAATTTATTCTTACCAAAATATGCTTCTTTATCTTTACTGCTGCTCTTTGTGGTCACTGGGATGTTATTAGAAGATTATTATCCTAAATACTTTTTTCTTATATAGCTGATGCTGGCAGCATTGTTAGTCCTTTTATTCTTAATGTTAGTGGTTGGTATTTAAACAGAAATCGTAGTTATTGAAACTCCATTTGCTCTCTTCTCTTTTTCAACTAAATGATAAGCTCCTGGAAGATACAAAGTACTTACCATATCTCTTGTCCCCCATCAATTATCAGCAACTGCTAGGCACATGGTAAGAATTTGGTGAGCAGTTGCTTAGCAGAGGGCTGCTTGCCCAGAGTGTTCTCTGGTCATGTTAGCTGTGCTCTGGTTAGTGACATCCTTGGCTTTGATATCAGTTGCTATTTCTCTTATAATAATGCAGCTATATCTAATAGGACACCACCTTTATGCTTTATAGGAGAGGGCCTAAGACATTACTACAGGAGAGGGCCTAAGACATTATTCCAGGAGTGAGGTTTTGGAGGGGGCCTAAGTTGTTCCTCCAGATGCAGAATCTAAAAGAAGGTCTAAGACCTAGGGCAACTATAGATTTGGGGATGATGATTTTTTATGACTTTCACGTCTGGACTGTAAGAATTTAAATGAGCAAATCCCAGAATCATAGAAATAGAGTATGAAAATGTTTCAAATGGGTGTGATTAAATATCTACTACCAAACAAATGCCACGTGCATAACTTTATATGTGTAAAAGGAGGAAGCACTTTCTCCATGTTTTCTCACTGAGTCTTATGTATCATGCAAATGTGGAATCAGTTGTGCTGGCTTAGAACCTCAGTTTCTCAGCTCAGCCCCAGTCAATCAAGGAGATGAAGCAAGAAGGCTGTCGTGTGTACTAATCAGGTATACTGGTATACTAATGCACAGTGCACCTGTGTAGGCTAATTAGATATCTTTTTCCAGTGAGCATATACTAAGTAAGGATCAGAGGATCATGGGATAAAGCGGTCATTTTAAAGATGTAATCAGTGATACTGACACAAAACCTTGTCCAGGAGAGCCCAGTTATTGCACCTAGAAACTGTCAATAGCGCCTTGATGCCATGAAAGTTTCTCATTTGCACAAGAGTCAAAGGAAGTGTTGCTGACTCACCATATCTTTGAGCGACTGTCCAGAAAATAACAACTTGGAAAGTCTATTTTCTTCCATCTTGTAGTTCCAATACCACCTAGATGTTGGAATCTTTTCATGGGCCTTTTTCAACTGGTATGCACAGAAAGATACCAGGGGGACCAGGACTACCGAAACAGCGATTACTTCTGTCTACTTTTTACATCTAGTTCTCAACAGCACGATGCTACTTAGCAGTAAAGGAGACCAGTATAAGTAGTCTAGTTCTTACCTAGTGAAAGGGAACAACTAATAGGTTTCTGTCACATATGCTATTGTCTGTAGAACCAGATCTCTCAAAGTTAAAAACCTGAGAATGCATGTGCAGGCTCAGGTGAGCACCTCCC